TGAATCGATTCCTGGTAATCCATGCATTTAAAGAAATACAAAAAAATTGTTCTCACGAGTACATCCCACATCATACGAAGTGCTTTATCTATATAAAATATGTGTGTGCGTGTTTTTTTTTTTTATTTGGTTTATTAATTTTTTTAATTGCTCAGTGGAAAATGTCATCATCCCATTTCTGACCTTATGTCTCTGGTGTGGATGCGGAAAGAAATGAGTATACACCAGAAATCCAAGAAAATAATAATAATAATAATAATAATAATAATAATAATAATAATAAAAATTTCAGTACTGCCTGAATAGATTGCCATAGGGCATTCAATAGTGTATATCATTCCTGGATCTTAAAGTCTTTAAATATATACAAGGAATCACACGTCGTTTATCAATTTCATCAAACAAATTATGTTGATATGGAAAACAACACTTCAACTCAATCATATAAATGGAATCTATAAATCTGGTGAAATAAACATCAACAAAAGAATATTTCAAGCTGACACTTTGTCTCCCTTAATATTTTGTATATCTATAATGGCATTAACTAGCGAAATTAACAGGATGGAATATGGATATTAATCTTAAAAGAAAATAATTCTTCAATTTTACATTAATGACTTAAAGTTATATGCTGGAATGACAGTGAGATGGAATGTCTCCTGAAAACAGTAAAATGTTTTTGTGATGGCATTGAAATGTAATTGGGTTTGAATAAATGTTCTAAAGCCATAATTTTATGAGGATCACTACAACAAACCTCGTCTATTAACTTAGACCTTGGGGTAAACAATCAAAGATTTAGAGCAAGCAGAAGCTTATAAGTAATTGAGGGCGAAGGAATTCATCATAAAAAATTAACAAAATAGTGCGAAACGAGTATTATAGAGGGTGCGATTGTAAAACATTTTTATTTGGTAAAAATCCCTACGAAAAAAAAAAATAGTTCATCCAACGTTTGAGGTAAGATTTAATTTAATTAAGGGCACACAACAAAGACGAGTTTAAAAAATATACGATAAATTTATTGTTAACAAAAAAATGAAAGAACTACACAAATTAAGTGCATTTTGTGCCAAATGATAGCCAATAACATGTATGTAAAAATAATCAATGCAAATGAAATATGCCGTTTTACAATAAACAAGTCCTCAGAAAATGTAAACAACATAAAAATAAAATAAAGTCAGAGGAAAATAATTCTATGAATAGTTTTCATAGAATAGGTATAATTTTTGAAGCAAAGTTCTTGGTAGCAGCAGCAGCAGCACGACTGAACAAAACAGTCAGCCGAAGAATTTTTCAATTATCGTCTGGTGGTCGTTAAATTTCTTGTGTTGTTTTTCTTCCTCGACCTGGGCAACCTGGGTTCTTGCATCAGATGTTAGTCGATTCCCCGAATTCAATTCTTGGTTCTCTAGTCATTCATTCAGTTAGGCTCCAGATTTACTTTTTGGAATTTGGAGGAAAACTTTTGATTGGTTCCGAATGAAAAATAAACGCAGCCATTTTCACACAAATCGAAATGTAGCAAAAATATTTTTCAAATTCAAAAGTTTAAACAAGAGCCCAACATGGCGTCTGTTTTCTCTCATAAAAGCAAACGATACACGCTCAAGCGGCTTAAATTTCTTATAACTGATATTAAGAACTGAATTGAGTTCTCAGAACAGAATTATGGTTATTAATAGCTTTGCCATCCCAGTGGTTCAATATAGTTTCAACATCTTGAACTGAACTCAAATGAATGAATTTTAAGACAAGAAAGATTTTTCTAACCATAACATGCATCATCCAAAGGCTGATGCAGACCATCAATACAGATCCCGTAAAGAAGCCGGAAGAGGTTTTATTCAGTTTGAATTGTCATACAAGACAACTTTTAATAAGTAACATACATGAAATTAACAATGGACTGGATGCTATAATTAGTCAAACAACACGAAAACAGAAAGAAAAAATATTTAGTCATGAAAGGCTGTAAATACAAACGAGATTTACAATTAGAAGATTCGATAGAAAACCAAAACAGAACCCAAGAACTAACCGTTGCAGCAAAAATTATGAAAAAGAAAGCCAAGGATAAAGCTCTTGAACAGATGAAGCAAGATAAAGCTCTGCATGGTCAATATCCAGAACGAGGCTAATAAAGCCGATGTTGATAAAGAAAGTTAACACTCATCGATGGTTGCGAGCATCTGGATTAAAGGCTGAAATCGAAGATTTTATCTTTGTAGCACAAGACCGGAGTCTTTTCATTAGAAACTTTCAGGCAAATATCATATGCAATAGTATGGATGCCAAATGCAGATTCTGTAACAAATGCAGTGTAACCCGGATATGAGAGTTGTCGGGACCGGAGAAGAAGTCTCTTATATCCGGGTTTCTCTTATATCCGGGTTTGGTCTATTTTGTTTAGGTAAGTATGGGCTCTAATTTGGGACCAGAGAAAATCTCTCTTATATCCGGGTCTCTTATATCCGGGTTACACTGTATCATGAAACAATAGACCATCTAATCTCATGATGTTCTGTACTTGCGCCAGATGAATATAAAAATCGTCACGATAGAGGGGGGGGGCAATATTTACACTTGTCAAAGTACAAACACTTTGAAAAAGATGTTAATAAACATTTGCATGAACATCACCCAGCATCGGTTACAGAAATAGAAGACATCCCAATTCTATGGGATTACACCATCTTTACAGACAGGAAAATTGAAGCAAATAGGCCGGACATAATTGTCAAAAACCGAAAAGAAAAAAAAATTACCTACTAATTGATATGGCTTGCCCAAAGGACTATAACATAACAAGCAAAGAATTTGAAAATCTCTCAAAGTTTAAAGACCTGGAAATCGAAATAGAAAAAAATGTGGAAATTGAAAACAAGAATAGTACCAGTTACAGTAGGTGCTCTTGGAATGATAAAAAAGGAACACAACAACACATTGAAAAAATCCCTGGGAATCCAAACTTAAGAGAAATACAAAAAAAATGTCCTGATAAGTACAACCCACACACTAAGAAATACTTTGTCCACGTAACGTTATTGATGTTATGGAAGTTAGAAAAACAAATCATGAAATGTAGCCATAACAACACACCTCTTCCTGCTTTGGGTCTTCCCGCAGACTTGGTAGGTAGTGTAACCATAGCAGAAATCGAAATATAATAATAATAATAATAACAAATAAGTAAATAAATGCCTCAGTGCATATAGGAGTAAAATAAATCCTACGTTTAGATACCCCAAGTTTAGTGCAACAGTTAGCCATTTTTATTTATTTTTACTGCTTGTTTCTGGAATGAGAGCCATAGACATTTACCGCAAAGACCTACCCTACCATCAATCATCCACTTCACCCTTCGTATCTCTTTTGTAAAAAGGAAGTTCCACTCACAGAGATTGGTCCCTAGAACTGTCACAGACTCCAGAGTTGATGCTTCCCCGAGCACTACAATCTTGAAGTCAAAGCCCAATAGATATCTATTCTACATATTCTCATAATATACACCTTTTCCTCCCCCCTTATGCACTTATCATAATCTCATTCAGTAACACTCTACCATGAGTGGCTCTTGGGCCTTGCATTAGGTGAAAATATTTATATAGAGGTTTTAGAAGCTAAAGTTTATACACAAACGAAAATAAAACTGGATAATTAAGTTTTATGATTTATTTTGAGAATTAATCAAATGATACAATTCAACTTATCTGGAAGAATTCGAGTCAATCAGTGATACTGCTATTGAATTGAGTTATATGATTTCTTTAAAATCATTACTGCCATTAGTTTTCAAAATTGTTGACTTGCTTCAATAGCTCTCTCTTTATCTCTCTCTCTCTCTCTCTATCTCCCTATCTCTCTCTGTCAGCGCCTATTTTTCGCTTTCTCTCTTACTGATTGCCTCTCTCTTATTAGTTCACTTACTCTCTCTCCTTTTGATCTTTTGCCGTCTCTTTCTCCCTATCGTTCTTTTTTCGCTTACCATATCTCTCTTTCTTTCTCTCAAGTCGTCTCTCTTGTCCCTCTCTCTCATTCACTTACAATCTCTCTCACTTACACAGCGTCTTTTTCTCGCTTTTTCTCTTACTGATAATCTCTCACTCTCTCTATCTTTCATTTACACCTTTTTGTCGTCTCTTTCTTCCCATCTTTTCTCTGCTTGCCATCTGTCTCTCTTTTTTTCTTATCTTCTCTCTCGGCTCATTTAGTCTCTCTCTCTCTCAATATTGCGAGATCACTCTCTTTCTTTCTCTTTCTCTCTCTCTATCTCACACACAAACACACATCTATTTCTCGTTTTCTCTCTTACTGTGCGTCTGTCTCTTACTAGTTCACTCTCTCTCTCTCTCTCTCTCTCTGTTTCTCACTTTTTTGCCATCTCTCTCCCTCTTCTCTCTCTCTCTCTCTTTTCACATTTTTGCTGTCTCTCTTACCTTCCCCTTTTCATCTTTTTGCCGTCTCCCTTCCCTTCTCTTTCTCTCTTCCACTTTTTCACTTTTTGCCGTCTCTCTCTCTTTTTTCTACCCCTTTTCACATTTTTGCCGTCTCTCTCCCTCTTCTCTCTCCTACTTTTCACCTTTTTGCCATCTCCCTCTCACCTTTCCAATTTGCTGTCTCTCTACCTCTCTCTTTTTCTCAGTTCCCCCTTTTTCACCTTTTTGCCGTCTCTCTCATTCACTTTCCTCTTTTCATATTTTTACAGTCTCTCTCTCTCTTCTCTTTTCGCATTTTTGCCGTCTCTCCCTTCTTCTCTCTCTCTTTCTCTTTTTCACCTTTTGGCCGTCTTTCTCTCTCACTTTCCTCTTTCCATCTTTTTACAGTCTCTCTCTCTCTCCCTCTCTCTCGTTTGCCAAACAAAAAGGCAATTTTAGTCTCCTGTTTATTTTTCAGTTTCTATAAAAGGTAGTTGGAATCTGATTCCCCCAGCACCTCTATAGCTCCGTGGCTGGAGTGTGCATGTCTCTGTGTGTATGTATATATAAGAGAGAGAGAGAAAGAGAGAGAATGTGTATGTATATATGTGGGTGTGTGGGTGTGAGGAGAGAGAGAGAGAGAGAGAGAGAGAGAGAGAGAGAGAGACCGACCTCCGATTCGAGTTGCAGAAAGACAAACACGGTCATAAATAATTTTATAAATCAATCTTCGTGTTTTATTTATAAAAAAAAAATTCACGCACGATTGGAAGCACAACAGGGCAAACACTGCATTTAAATGATAGGACGCACATTGCAGAAAAGGATACACAAAAACAATGACCTTTTTATTCACAGGCAACAGAGGAAATAGTTTAACGTTTGACTTAATGCGCACTTTCTTCTTCTTCTCTCGCGTCCCTTCATAACGTTGGCGATCATGGCTCTCCAAAATTTCCTGTCTTTTGCAGCTCTTAACAAATGTTGTCATTTTGCATTGTCTCCTAAACTGTTCCACCATCCATTTATCTAAGCTCTTCTATGTACTTTGTCCCTTCAGGACTGGGGATCACGGCTCTCCACAATTTCCTATCCTTTGTAGCTTTTAATAAATTTTGTCTTTTTGTGATCCCTCCTAAAACTTGTTCCGCCATCCATTTACTCAAATTCATTCTTCTTCTTCTTCTTCTTCTTCTTCTTCTTCTTCTTCTTCTTCTTCTGTCGTGTCCCTTCAGAAAATCTTCGGTTATATCTCTCCACGATTTCCTGTCCTTTGTAGCTCTTAACAAATATTGTCATTTTGCATTCTCTCCTAAATTGTTCCACCATCCATGTATATAAGCTCTTCTATGTGACTTCTCCCTTCAGGACTTGGGATCATGGCTCTCCACAATTTCCTGCCCTTTGTAGCTCTTAACAAATTTTATCTTTGTGTGATATCTCCTAAATACACCTAAGTCCAATTTTGGTGTCGTCCGATTCTTCTGAAAGCAAACAGCTAAGTGAAGTTGTTATATCCCAACACGCGCGGAAAAAAAACCGTTAGGGGTTAAGTCACGTGTTTGCATATGAAAGTGAGTAGGCGTTATCCATTGAACACTATTAGGGTCACTTGTACTTATCAGACAAGAAGCGTTCGTCTGGCTTGCGATCGGAGACCAGACAGGAGGTGGGGGAAAGGACGGTTCTCTTCCAAGAATTTGCTTTAGTTTAACCGGGTACAAAAAATATTCCATAATCTGCATATTCAAAGAAATAAGGAGACGACTGTCATTCTCATATCTAGTCGCAAATATGTAAGATATTTAAACTATACTTGTAAAATCTAAGGTAGGGGTACAATTATTGGTCTAACGTAACACGACATTTACAAAGTTTCGTTTAATTTCGCAAAACAATCGATGAAATTTTGAATAAGTCGATTTGTTTAGAAAAATACTTTAACAAAAATCCCTATTTCGCGCTTTAATATTTTTTTTAATTTAACTTAATTTTATAGGAATTCATGATAAACAATATTTTTTTAAGAAAATTTCTTTTTTTCTTTTTTAACAGCGAAGAATAAATTCTTAGAATTTCTTACTCTTGAGCATGCAACAAAACTGGCCATGCGTAAATATTTCTTTCTGGTGCCAAGTTCCAATTTTGTGAAGCGTTTGGCCTTGTGATTTATTTATAGTTCTAACAAACACAGGCTAAACTGGAAACTGGATTCTTGTATTTATAAAAAAAATAAAGAAAAATATCAAAAATAATATTGCATTTTTATTAAATAAGTATTTTAAATTTAATCATTAAATGTATGGTTATTTTGGAGAGTGTGACGGACGGACTAATGAAAGTCACAGAATTTTATATATAGATACATTAAATTAATATGAGAATAATATAGAAAGATTAGCGATTCATTGAAGGAAAAATTGCTTTGATGAAAACTCAGAACAGGGGGAAGTCATCAGCCTCTGGCCCATATTTTCAGGCAAAATAATTAAGCAATATAAGGAACAAAACTGTTATGGTGTAGAACGATAGAAAGATAATACGGACTCGGATATAAGGTTAAATAGTTTATTCTCGGACACGTAGTACAAAGGTAAATGTGAACTGGAGAGTAATTTCTCCCTTTGGTGTCCTCACTCACTCATTCACTCACTCACTCATTCACTCACTCACTCATTCACTCACTAACTCACTCTATGGCTACTACTCGGTGAACCTCAATTGGTGACTCCCTTTACGCAGAGTTGGTAGCCATATTATATGAGCGTGGAAGAGTCCATTTGTAGGTAGGTCCCCAGACAAAAACAAAATTAATTCGACTTATTTAATACAAATAAAAACAAAAAACATTTTAAGGATTTTCGATATTTATTACAAAACCAACGAATCCATCTTTTCATATTAACAGATTGAAATCTCCCCGAAATGTTTTCTTCTTATACTTTGTAGCGCGTTGATTGAACATGGCACTCCACGACTTCCTACCCTTTGTATCTATAAGCAGTATTTGTCTCTTTACTATCCATCCTAGTCCCAGATTTCCCATTAAACGCATTGATTGAACATGGCACTCCACAACTTCCTACCCTTTGTATCTCTAAGCAGTATTTGTCGCCTTACTATCCATCCTAGTCCCAGATCAGCCATTAAGCGCGCTGATTGAACATGGCATTCCACGACTTCCTATTCTTTGTATCTCTAAGCAGTATTTGGTCCCTTACTATCCATCCTAGTCCCAGATTTCCCATTAAACGCGTTGATTGAACATGGCGCTCCACGACTTCCTTCCCTTTGTATCTATAAGCAGTATTTGTCGCCTTACTATCCATCCTAGTCCCAGATCAGCCATTAAGCGCGCTGATTGAACATGGAACTCCACGACTTCCTACCGTTGTATCTCTAAGCAGTATTTGTCTCCTTACTATCCATCCTAGTCCCAGATTGACAATAAAAAGCGTTGATTGGACATGGCACTCCACGACTTCCTACCCATTGTATCTATAAGCAGTATTTGTCTCCTTACTATCCATCCTAGACCCAGATCTCCCATTACGCGCGTTGATTGAACATGGCACTCCACGACTTCCTTCCCTTTGTATCTATAAGCAGTATTTGTCTCCTTACTATGTATCCTACTCCTAGATTTCCCATTAAACGCGTTGATTGAACATGGCACTCCACGACTTCCTACCCTTTGTATCTCTAAGCAGTATTTGGTTCCTTTCTATACATCCTAGTACCAGATTTCCCATTAAACGCGTTGATTGAACATGGCACTCCACGACTTCCTACCCTTTTTATCTCTAAGCAGTATTTGTCTCCTTACTATCAATCCTAGTCCCAGATTTCCCATTAAACGCGTTGATTGAACATGGCACTCCACGACTTCCTACCCTTTGTATCTATAAGCAGTATTTGTCTCCTTACTATCAATCCAAGTCCCAGATCACCCATTAAGCGCGTTGATTGAACATGGCACTCCACGACTTCCTACCCTTTGTATCTCTAAGCAGTATTTGGTTCCTTACTATCCATCCTAGTCACAGATTTCACATTAAATGCGTTGATTGAACATGGCGCTCGACGACTTCCTTCCCTTTGTATCTATAAGCAGTATTTGCCTCCTTACTATCAATCCTAGTCCCAGATCAGCCATTAAGCGCGCTGATTGAACATAGCACTCCACGACTTCCTACTCTTTGTATCTCTAAGCAGTATTTGGTTCCTTACTATACATCCTAGTCCCAGAATTCCCATTAAATGCGTTGATTGAACATAACACTCCACGACTTCCTACCCTTTGTATCTCTAAGCAGTATTTGTCACCTTACTATCCATCCTAGTCCCAGATTTCCCATTAAACGCGTTGATTGAACATGGCACTCCACGACTTCCTACCCTTTGGATCTCTAAGCAGTATTTGTCTCCTTACTATCCATCCTAGTCCCAGATCTCACATTAAGCGCATCGATTGAATATGTCATTCCACGACTTCCTACCCATTGTATCTCTAAGCAGTATTTGTCTCTTTACTATCCATCCTAGTCCCAGATTTCCCATTAAACGCGTTGATCGGACATGGCACTCCACGACTTCCTACCTTTTGTATCTATAAGCCTCCTTACCCATTCTAGTCCCAGAACTCCCATTAAATGCGTTGATTGAACATGGCACTCTACGATTTCCCACCCTTTGTGTCTCTATATTTGTCTCCTTACTATCCATCCTAGTCCCAGATTTCCCATTAAAAGCGTTGATTGAACATGGCACTCCACGACTTCCTACCCTTTGTATCTCTAAGCCCCTTACTATCCATCATAGTCCCAGGTTTCTTAAGCGCGTTGATTGAACATGGCACTCAACGACTTTACCCTTTTTGTATCTCTTATTTGTCGCCTTACTATCCATCCTAGTCTCAGGATTTCCATTAAGCGCGTTGATTGAACATGGCACTCCACGACTTCCTACCCTTCGTATCTCTAAGCAATATTTGTCTCCTTACTATCCATCCTAGTTCCAGATTTACAATTAAACGCGTTGATTGAACTTCGCACTCCACGATTTCCTACCCTTTGGATCTATAAGCAGTATTTGTCTCCTTACTATCCATCCTAGTCCCAGATCTCACATTAAGCGCATCGATTGAACATGTCCCCACGACTTCCCTACCCATTGTATCTCTAAGTTTTGTCTCTTTTTACTATCCATCCTAGTCCCAGATTTCCCATTAAACGCGTTGATCGGACATGGCACTCCACGACTTCCTACCTTTTGTATCTATAAGCAGTATTTGTTTCCTTACTATCCATCCTGTCCCAGAACTCCCATTAAATGCGTTGATTGAACATGGCACTCTGATTTCCTACCCTTTGTGTCTCTAAGCAGTATTTGTCTCACTATCCATCCTAGTCCCAGATTTCCCATTAAAAGCGTTGATTGAACATGGCACTCCACGACTTCCTACCCTTTGTATCTCTAAGCAGTATTTGTCTCCTTACTATCCATCATAGTCCCAGGTTTCCAATTAAGCGCGTTGATTGAACATGGCACTCAACGACTTCCTACCCTTTGTATCTCTAAGCAGTATTTGTCGCCTTACTATCCATCCTAGTCTCAGGATTTCCATTAAGCGCGTTGATTGAACATGGCACTCCACGACTTCCTACCCTTTGTATCTCTAAGCAGTATTTGTCTCTTATCAATCCTAGTCCCAGATTTCCCATTAAACGCGTTGATTGAACATGGCACTCCACGACTTCCTACCCTTTGTATCTATAAGGTATTTGTCTCCTTACTATCAATCCAAGTCCCAGATCACCCATTAAGCGCGTTGATTGAAACATGGCACCCACGACTTCCTACCCTTTGTATTTCTAAAAAGCAGTATTTGGTCCTTACTATCCATCCTAGTCACAGATTTCCATTAAATGCGTTGATTGAACATGGCGCTGACGACTTCCTTCCCTTTGTATCTATAAGCAGTATTTGCCTCCTTACTATCAATCCTAGTCCCAGATCAGCCATTAAGCGCGCTGATTGAACATAGCACCTCCACGACTTCCTACTCTTTGTATCTCTTATTTGGTTCCCTTACTATACATCCTAGTCCCAGAATTCCCATTAAATGCGTTGATTGAACATGTTCCTACCCTTTGTATCTCTAAGCAGTATTTGTCACCTTACTATCCATCCTAGTCCCAGATTTCCCATTAAACGCGTTGATTGAACATGGCACTCCACGACTTCCTACCCTTTGGATTGAATTTGTCTCCTTACTATCCATCCTAGTCCCAGATCTCACATTAAGCATCGATTGAATATGTCATTCCACGACTTCCTACCCATTGTATCTCCCAAGCAGTATTTGTCTCCTATCCATCCTAGTCCCAGATTTCCCATTAAACGTTGATCCAGGCATCCACGACTTCCTACCTTTGTATCTATAAGCAGTATTTGTCTCCTTACTATCCATTCTAGTCCCAGAACTCCCATTAAATGCGTTGATTGAACATGGCACTCCGATTTCCTACCCTTTGTGTCTCTATATTTGTCTCCTTACTATCCATCCTAGTCCCAGATTTCCCATTAAAAGTTGATTGAACATGGCACCCACGACTTCCTTATCTATCCCTTACTATCCATCATAGTCCCAGGTTTCCAATTAAGCGTTGATTGAACATGGCACAACGATTCCTACCCTTTGTATCTCTAAGCAGTATTTGTCGCCTTACTATCCATCCTAGTCTCAGGATTTCCATGGATTGAACATGGCACTCCACGACTTCCCTACCCTTCGTATCTCTAAGCAACATTTGTCTCCTTACTATCCATCCTAGTTCCAGATTTACAATTAAACGCGTTGATTGAACTTCGTCACGATTTCCTACCCTTGGATCTATAAGCCGTATTTGTCTCCTTACTATCCATCCTAGTCCCAGATCTCACATTAAGCGCATCGATTGAACATGTCACTCCACGACTTCCTACCCATTGTATCTCTAAGCAGTATTTGTCTCTTTACTATCCATCCTAGTCCCAGATTTCCCATTAAACGCGTTGATCGGACATGGCACTCCACGACTTCCTACCTTTTGTATCTATAAGCAGTATTTGTTTCCTTACTATCCATCCTAGTCCCAGAACTCCCATTAAATGCGTTGATTGAACATGGCACTCTACGATTTCCTACCCTTTGTGTCTCTAAGCAGTATTTGTCTCCTTACTATCCATCCTAGTCCCAGATTTCCCATTAAACGCGTTGATTGAACATGGCACTCCACGACTTCCTACCCTTTGTATCTCTAAGCAGTATTTGTCTCCTTACTATCCATCATAGTCCCAGGTTTCCAATTAAGCGCGTTGATTGAACATGGCACTCAACGACTTCCTACCCTTTGTATCTCTAAGCAGTATTTGTCGCCTTACTATCCATCCTAGTCTCAGGATTTCCATTAAGTTGATTGAACATGGCAATCCACGACTTTTTTTTATATCTAAGCAGTATTTGTCTCCTTACTATCAATCCTAGTCCCAGATTTCCATTAAACGCGTTGATTGAACATGGCACTCCACGCTTCCTACCCTTTGTATCTATAAGCACTATCAATCCAAGTCCCAGATCACCCATTAAGCGCGTTGATTGAACCCTTTGTATCTCTAAGCAGTATTTGGTTCCTTACTATCCATCCTAGTCACAGATTTCATTAAATGCGTTGATTGAACATCCTAGTCCCCTTTAGAGATATTTGCCTCCTTACTATTAAATCGCCATTAAGCGCGCTGATTGAACATTGAACTCTTTGTATCTCTAAGCAGTATTTGGTTCCTTACTATACATCCTAGTCCCAGAATTCCCATTAAATGCGTTGATTGAACATAACACTCCACGACTTCCTACCCTTTGTATCTCTAAGCAGTATTTGTCACCTTACTATCCATCCTAGTCCCAGATTTCATTAAACGCGTTGATTGAACATGGCACCTACGACTTCCTACCCTTTGGATCTCTACGTCTTTTACTATCCATCCTAGTCCCAGATCTCACATTGCTTTATCGATTGAATATGTCATCCAATGACTTCCCACCCATTGTATCCATCCTTTACTATCCATCCTAGTCCCAGATTTACAATTAAACGCGTTGATTGGCAACGATTCCTACCTTTTGTATCTATAAGCAGTATTTGTCCATCCATTCTAGTCCCAGAACTCCCATTAAATGCCATGGCACCTACGATTTCCTACCCTTTGTGTCTCTACAGTATTTGTCTCTTACTATCCATCCTAGTCCCCATCCTAGTCCCAGATTAAAAGCGTTGATTGAACATGGCACTCCACGAATTCCTACCCTTTTGTATCTCTAAGCAGTATTTGTCTCTCCATCATTAGGTTTGAATATCCATCCTAACGTTCCAGATTTCCCATCCTAAGGATTTCGCGTTGATTGAACATGGCACTCCACGACTTCCTACCTTCGGCAATATTTGTCTCCACTATCCATCCTAGTTCCAGATTTACTTAAACCCTTCGCACTCCACGATTTTCCTGTACTATAAGCTTTTGTCTCCTTACTATCCATCCTAGTCCCAGATCTCACATTGCTGCATTTGAACATCCACGACTTCCTACCCATTGTATCGCGTATTTGTCTTTTTACTATCCATCCTAGTCCCAGATTTCCCATTAAACGCGTTGATCCATGGCCTAGTCCTACCTTTTGTATCTATAAGGTATTTGTTTCTCAATACTATCCATCCTAGTCCCAGAACAACCCATTAAATGCGTTGATTGAACATGGCACTTACGATTTCCTACCTTTGTGTCGACTTCCCATCCTACCCTTTGTTGATCTGGCATAAGTATCTCTAAGCAGTATTTGTCTCCTTACTATCCATCCTAGTCCCAGATTTCCAATTAAGCGAGTTGATTGAACATGGCAGACTTCCTACCTTTTGTATCTCTACATGGCACTATCCATCCTACGATTTCCCACGTTGATTGGAACATGGCACTTGTATCTCTAAGCAGTATTTGTCGCCTTACTATCCATCCTAGTTCCAGATTTACAATTAAACGCGTTGATTGAACTTCCAGATTTTTGTCCCTTACTATCCATCCTAGTCCCAGATTAAAAACGCGTTGATTGAACATGGCACTCACAACTTCCTACCCTTTGTATCTCTAAGCATTTGTCTTTGTCTCCTTACTATCCATCCCCTTTGTATCTATAGTTTTGTCTCCTATGTATCCTTCCCATTAAAACGCGTTGATTGAACATGGCACTTCCTACCATTTGTATCTCTAAGCAGTATTTGTCTCTACTATCCATCCTTCACAGATTTCATTAAATGCTCATGGCGCTGACGACTTCCTTCCTTGTATCTATAAGTATTTGCCTCCCTACTTACCTATCCATCCCATTGCGCTGATTGAACATAGCCCAGATTTCCCTTTGTATCTCTAAGCGTTTATTCCTAGTCCCAACATTAAATGCATTGAACTAACACACGACTTCCTACCCTTTGTATCTATAAGCAGTATTTGTCTCTATCCATCCTAGTCCCAGATATCCATGGCACCTACCCTTGTCTCCAGTATTTGTCTCCTTACTATCCATCCTAGTCCCAGATCGCGTCGATTGAATATGTCATTCCACGACTTCCTACCCATTGTATCTTTTGTCTCTTTACTATCCATCCTAGTCCCAGATTTCCCATTAAACGCGTTGATCGGACATCTCTTACCTTTTTTGCTATAAGTAATTTGTCTCCTTACTATCCATTCTAGTCCCAGAACTCCCATTAAATGCGTTGATTGAACATGGCACTTCACGATTTCCTACCCTTTGTGTCTCTAAGATTTGTCCCTTAATCCATCCTAGTCCCAGATTTCCCATTAAACGTTGATTGAACATGGCACTCCACGACTTCCTCACCTTTTGTATCTCTAAGGTATTTGTCACCTTATCCATCATAGTCCCAGGTTTTCCAATTTTGATTGAACTCACTTACTATCCATCCTAAGCAGTATTTGTCGCCATTATCCATCCTAGTCTCAAACCATTAAGCACGTTGATTGAACATGGCACTCCACGACTTCCTACCCTTCCTTTGTACTATCCATCCTAGTTCCAGATTTACAGTTGATTGAACTTCGCACTCCACGATTTCCTACCCTTTGGATCTATAAGCAGTATTTGTCTCCTTACTATCCATCCTAGTCCAGATCTCACATTAAGCGCATCGATTGAACATGTCAGACTTCCTCCATTGTATCTCTAAGCAGTATTTGTCTTTTTACTATCCATCCTAGTCCCAGATTTCATTAAACGCGTTGATCGGACATGGCACGACTTCCTACCTTTGTATCCTTTGTTTCCTTATCTCCTAGTCCCAGAACTCCCATTAAATGCGTTGATTTGTCTCGATTTCCTACCCTTTGTGTCTCTACTATTTGTCTCCTTACATCCATCCTAGTCCCAGATTTCCCATTAAACGCGTTGATTGAACATGGCACTCCACGACTTCCTACCATTTGTATCTATAAGCAGTATTTGTCTCCTTACTGTCCATCATAGTCCCAGGTTTCCAATTAAGCGCGTTGATTGAACATGGCACTCAACGACTTCCTAACCTTTGTATCTCTAAGCAGTATTTGTCGCCTTACTATCCATCCTAGTCCCAGGTTTCCCATTAAACGCGTTGATTGAACATGGCACTCCACGACTTCCTGCCCTTTGTATCTCTAAAGCAGTATTTGTCCCTTACTATCCATCCTTTCCAGTTTACCTTGATAACTTCGCACTCCACGCAGTATTTGTCTCCTTACTATCCATCCTAGTCCCAGATTTAGTCCACACAACTTACTACCCTTTGTATCTCTACAGTTTTGTCTCCTTACGATACATCCTAGTCCCAGATTTCCCATTAAACGCGTTGATTGAACATGGCACTCCACGATATCCTACCCTTTGTATCTCTAAGCAGTATTTGTCTCCTTACTATCCACCCAACTCCCAGATTTCCCATTTAACGCGTTGATTGAACATGGCACTCCACGACTTCCTACACTTTGTATCTCTAAGCAGTAATTGTCTCCTTACTATCCATCCTAGTTCCAGATTTACAATTAAAAACGTTGATTGAACATGGCACTCCACTACTTCCTACCCTTTGTATCTCTAAGCAGTATTTGTCTCCTTACTATCCATCCTAGTCCCAGATCTCCATTAAGCGCGTTGATTGAACATGGCACTCCACGACTTCCTACCCTTTGTATCTATAAGCAGGATTTGTCTCCTTACTATCCATCCTAGTTCCAGATTTTCCATTAAACGCGTTGATTGAACATGGCACTGCACGACTTCCTACACTTTGTATCTCTAAGAAGGATTTGTCTCCTTACTATCCATCCTAGTCCCAGATTTCCCATTAAGCGCGTTGATTGAACATGGCACTCCACGACTTCCTACCCTTTGTATCTATAAGCAGTATTTGTCTCCTTACTATCCATCCTAGTCCCAGATTTCCCATTAAGCGAGTTCATTGAACATGGCATTCAACGATTTCCTACCCTTTGTATCTCTAAGCAGTATTTGTCGCCTTACTATCCATCCTAGTTCCAGATTTCAATTAAACACGTTGATTGAACATGGCACTCCACGACTTCCTATCCTTTGTATCTCTAAGCAGTATTTGTCTCCTTACTATCCATCCTAGTTCCAGATTTCCCATTAAACGCGTTGATTGAACATGGCATTTCCTAATCTCTGAGCAGTATTTGTCTCCTTACTATCCATCCTAGTCCCAGATTTCATTAAACGCATTGGAACATGGCACTCCACGACTTCCTACCCTTTGTACCTATAAGGAGTATTTGTTCCTTACTATCCATCCTAGTCCCAGATTTCCCATTAAGCGCGTTCATTGAACATGGCATTCCACGATTTCCTACCCTTTGTATCTCTAAGCAGTATTTGTCTCCTTAATATCCATCCTAGTTCCAGATTTACGATTAAACACGTTGATTGAACATGGCACTCCACGACTTCCTACCCTTTGTATCTATAAGCAGTATTTGTCTCCTTACTCTACATCCTAGTTCCAGATTTCCCATTAAACGCGTTGATTGAACAAGGCACTCCACGACTTCCTACCCTTTGTATCTTGAAGAGGTATTAGTCTCCTTACTATACATCCTAGTCCCATATTTCCCATTAAGCGCGTTGATTGAACATGGCATTCCACGATTTCCTACCCTTTGTATCTCTAAGCAGTATTTGTCTCCTTACTATCCATCCTAGTTCCAGATTTCCCATTAAACGCGTTGATTGAACATGGCACTCCACGACTTCCTACCCTTTGTATCTCTAAGCAGTATTTGTCTCCTTACTATCCATCCTAGTCCCAGATTTACTCCATTGAAATGGCACTCCACGCGTATCTATAAGCATTTTGAAAGATTTCCTATTAAGCGCGTTGATTAAACATGGCACTCCACGACTTCCTACCCTTTGTATCTATAAATAGTATTTGCCTCCTTACTATCCATCCTAGTCCCAGATTTCCCATTAATCCATCCCTTGTATCTCTAAGGTCCCTCCTTACTATCAATCCTAGGCCAAGATCTCCATTAAACGCGTTGATTGAACATGGCACCACGACTTCCTTGTATCTCATGGTATTTCTCTACTTACTATCCATCCTAGTCACAGATTTCCCATTAAGCCTTGGCACCCATCCTTTTGTATCTCTAAGCAGTATTTGTCGCCTTACTATACATCCTAGTCCCAGATTTCCCATTAAACACGTTGATTGAAGATGGCACTCACGACTTCCTACCCCTTTGTATCTCTAAGCAGTATTTGTCTCCTTACTAGCCATCCTAGTCCAGATTTCCCATTAAACGCGTTGATTGAACATGGCACTCCACGACTTCCTACCCTTTGTATCCATAAGCAGTATTTGTCTCCTTACTATCCATCCTACTCCCAGATTTCCCATTAAGCGCGTCCATTGAACATGGCATTCTACGATTTCCTACCCTTTGTATCTCTAAGCAGTATTTGTCTCCTCACTATCAATCCTAGTTCCAGATTTACAATTAAACACGTTGATTGAACATGGTACTTTACGATTCCTACCCTTTGTATCTCTAAGCAATATTTGTCTTCTTACTATCCATCCTACTTCCAGATTTCCCATTAAACGCGTTGATTGAACATGACACTCCACGATTTCCTACCCTTTGTATCTATAAGCAGTATTTGTCTCCTTACTATCCATCCTAGTCCCAGATTTCCCATTAAGCGCGTTGATTGAACATGGCACTCCACGACTTCCTACCCTTTGTATCTATAAGCAGTATTTGTCTCCTTACTATCCATCCTAGTTCCAGATTTTCCATTAAACGCGTTGATTGAACATGGCACTCCACGACTTCCTACACTTTGTATCTATAAGCAGTATTTGTCTCCTTACTATCCATCCTAGTCCCAGATTTCCCATTAAACGCGTTGATTGAACATGGCACTCCACGACTTCCTACCCTTTGTATCTCTAAGCAGTATTTGTCTCCTTACTATTCATCCTAGTTCCAGATTTACAATTAACCGCGTTGATTGAACATGGCACCATCTTCCTACCCTTTGTATCTCCAGATTTGTCTCTTTATTATCAATCCTAGTCCCAGATTTCCCATTAAACGCGTTGATTAAACATGGCATTCCACGACTTCCTACTTTTTGTATCTCTAAGCAGTATTTGTCTCTTTATTATCCATCCTAGTCCCAGATTTCCTTGATTGAACATGGCACTGACTTCCCTACCTTGTATCTCTAAGCAGTATTTGTCTTTTATTATCCATCCTAGTCCCAGATTTTCCCATTAAACGCGTTGATTGAACATGGCACTCCCCGACTTCCTACCCTTGTATCTCTAAGCAGTATTTGTCTCTTTGTTATCCATCCTAGTCCCAGATTTCCCATTAAACGCGTTGATTGAACATGGCCTCCACGACTTCCTACCCTTTGTATCTCTAAGATATTTGTCTCCTTACTATCCATCCCAGTCCCAGATTTCCATTAAACCCGTTGATTGAACATGGCACTCCACGACTACCCTTTTTATCTCTTTGTCTCCCTTTATATCCATCCTTCCAAGTTTCCCATTAAACGCGTTGATTGAACATGGCACTATTTGTATCTCCAGTATTTGTCCTATTATCCATCCTAGTTCCAGATTTTCCATTAAACGCGTTGATTGAACATGGCACTCCACGACTTCCTACACTTTGTATCTCTAAGCAGTATTTGTCTCCTTACTATCCATTTTAGTCCCAGATTTCCCATTAAACGCATGATTGAACATGGCACTCCACGTTTTCCTACCCTTTGTATCTCTAAGCAGTATTTGTCTCCTTACTATCCATCCTAGTTCCAGATTTCCCATTAAACACGTTGATTGAACATGGCACTCCACGACTTCCTACCCTTTGTATCTATAAGCAGCATTTGTCTCCTTACTATCCATCCTAGTCCCATTTCCCATTGCCTTGATTGAACTATCCATTTCCTACCCTTTGTCCCACAGTATTTGTCTCCTTAATCCATCCTAGTTCCAGATTTACAATTAAACACGTTGATTGAACATGGCACTCAACGACTTCCTACCCTTTGTATCACTAAGCAGTATTTGTCGCCTTACTATCCATCCTAGTTCCAGATTTCCCATTAAACGCGTTGATTGAACATGGCACTTTCCTATCCTTTGAACATATTTGTTTCATTACTTCCATCCTAGTCCCAGATCTCCATTAAGCGATTGAACATGGCACTCCACGACTTTGTATCTATAAGCAGTATTTGTCTCTTACCTCCATCCTAGTCCCAGATTTCCATCCATTGAACATGGCTAGTTCCTACCTTTTTATCTCTAAGAGAATTTGTCTCCTTAATCCATCCCAGTTCCAGATTTTCCATTAAACGCGTTGATTGAACATGGCACTCCACGACTTCCTACCCTTTGTATCTATAAGGTATTTGTTTTACTATCCATCCTAGTCCCAGATTTCCTTACTTGATTGAACCATCCTACCCTTTGTATCTATAAGCCTCCTTACTATCCATCCTAGTCCCAGATTTCCCATTAAGCGCGTTGATTGAACATGGCATTCCACGACTTCCTACCCTTTGTATCTCTAAGCAGTATTTGTCTCCTTACTATTCATCCTAGTTCCAGATTTACAATTAACCGCGTTGATTGAACATGGCACTACACGACTTCCTACCCTTTGTATCTCTAAGCAGTATTTGTCTCTTTATTATCAATCCTAGTCCCAGATTTCCCATTAAACGCGTTGATTAAACATGGCATTCCACGACTTCCTACTCTTTGTATCTCTAAGCAGTATTTGTCTCTTTATTATCCATCCTAGTCCCAGATTTCCAATTAAACGGTTGATTGAACATGGCACTCCAATGACTGAACTTTTGTATCTCTCAGCAGTATTTGTCTTTTTATTATCCATCCTAGTCCCAGATTTCCCACGCGTTGATTGAACATGGCCTACCCTACCCTT